AGGTGCAGATTGTAGACCTATGTAGAGTCACTCAATTTTCAGGGACAAGGGGAAAACATGAGAACCAATACTTGTCATGTAAAGGTACAAGATCCCAATAATGAATGTAACTGTACTGTATACCTAAAATGTACCAATAAACTCAGTGAAGAAAAAAAGTTTTTCAATGCCATCAATGCAGTCCAAAGGAGAACAGAAGTTCTTTTAAATGAATGATACTAGAGCAGCTGGCTATCTGTATGGGGGCTAGAAAAAGAAATTCTTTCTCCTGCTTCACACTCTACACTCAAATTAATTTGAAATAAGTTATAAGTATACAAGTAGAATTTAGAACAGTTAAAACTTTTAGTAGAAAACATTAGAGAATTTCTTGTACACTCAGTTTAAACAAAGATTTTTTAGCAGGTCACAAAGCTACCAAGCACAAAAAGAAGATTTGATAAATTAGATTCAACAAAGTTTTCTTTCATCATGAGATACAGTTAAGAGGGTGAAAAGGCAAGCATCCCAATAATATGTAACTGTACTGTATACCTAAAATGTACCAATAAACTCAGTGAAGAAAAAAAGTTTTTCAATGCCATCAATGCAGTCCAAAGGAGAACAGAAGTTCTTTTAAATGAATGATACTAGAGCAGCTGGCTATCTGTATGGGGGCTAGAAAAAGAAATTCTTTCTCCTGCTTCACACTCTACACTCAAATTAATTTGAAATAAGTTATAAGTATACAAGTAGAATTTAGAACAGTTAAAACTTTTAGTAGAAAACATTAGAGAATTTCTTGTACACTCAGTTTAAACAAAGATTTTTTAGCAGGTCACAAAGCTACCAAGCACAAAAAGAAGATTTGATAAATTAGATTCAACAAAGTTTTCTTTCATCATGAGATACAGTTAAGAGGGTGAAAAGGCAAGCTACAGTATGAGAAAATATCTGCCAATGGATTAGTATCAAACATATGTAAAGGTTACTTGCAAATCAGTTATAATAAGACAAACAACCCAGTTTTTAAAAAGTGTACAAATTTAAACAAGAAATTTACAAAGATGTACAAATGTCCAATATGATGCTCAGTATTTATTAGTAAAAGGGAAAAAATTAAACTAATACTGTAGTGATATTATTGTATACAGATTAGAATGGTTAAAGTAAAGATGAATGCCGATATGAAGTGTTGATTAAGAGGGTCTAGAATGCTCACATTCTCTTGGTGGGAAAACAAAATGTTTTAGTCAGTTTGGAGAACTGCTTGAGACATTCTAATAAATATCAACATGCATATTGCCTATGACCTAATAATTTCATTTTTAGGCATATATTCAAGAGACTTGAAAACATATGTTTAAGAAAGAATTTCTGATGAAATCAGGTTTATTAGTAAAAGCCCCAAACTAGAGATAACCCAAATATTTATTGATAGAGCAGATAAATAAGTTATAATATATTAATAACATGGAATATTGTTTAGCAATAAAAATTGCTGATACAAAATAGCATAAATGATTTCCAGGAACATTATATGAGAGAAAGACACCTGTCACAAAGTCTGTATTGGATGATTATGTTTACACAAAGTTTGAGAGCTGGTCAAATTAATCTATAGTAATAAGTATCAGCAATGTGGCTATCTCAGAGGGAGAGAGAGAGCAATGCTATTGACTGGAAAGGGGCACATGTGAACTGTTACAGTTATCTAATTAATATGACAAACCATCCTAAAGCAGCTCATTCTGTCCCTCAATTTTGTGAGTCAAGGGTTTAGGCTGTGTTTAATTTTGTTCTTCTTTTTCTAGGTAGCACTGACATCTAGTTTGATCTTGAGGGTCCAAAATTTCTTGTCAGGTCCGTCCGACTTCTTGGTGGGCTCTCCTGGGACTCTTGACTTGAACACCACCATGAAGCCTTTCTTATATTATGATGTCAGGTGGTCAGATTTACTTGGTGCCTGTGGTACCAAGAGTAAGTATTTCAAAGAACAAAGTGAAATTGTGTCCTTTTCTGGTCTAATTTTGGTGTTATGCCTGCTGTATTCTATTGGTCACAATCCTGCTCAGACTCAAGGAAAGGGGACAGATACTTCACATTTAAATGTAAAGATGCCAAAAATTTTGCAGCTGTGATTTAAAAAACTACTCTAGGTACTTTCTGCAGCTAGTGGAAATATTTTGTATTTTAATTTGAGTGGTGGATAAATGAATATATACAAAATTCTTGTGGAACACACTGAATATTTGGGTACTTTTGTGAATTATATTGCAAAAAAAGAAATCTGCAGAGTGCCTAAGATACTTTACTGTCATTGTTTTCACAGCAACCTATGAATCAACAATTATGATCTCATTTTATAGATATTTTGTTTCACCTATTAACTTGGCCAGTATCTGAGAGAACCATAGTTCAAGTCCAAGTTTTCTGGCCTCCAAATGTCTTCTCTTCCCATCAGTATCATGCTACGGGGACAAAACAGTTCATTCATTCCTCAGTTAATGTCTACCAAGAACTCACTATATGTTGGGTACTAACCTAAGAACTAGGGAAGAAAGGGAAGAGTGGCATATGTCCTTGCCTTCAAGAGGCTCATACAGAAAAAGACAGATACATATGTGAATATCAATTTTACAGTGTAATTAGCATTATATTATGTAAAACTTATTTTCTAAACTCCCAAATTAGGACCTTTGAAATGACTGGATCCCATGACCACAAAGGTATAGAATATTTGAAGTCAGAACTTCTTTCAGAAGTGTGGTCACAGTAAACTAGCACATGTAAAGAACTCTACTGGGTCCTAGGAGGAGGAGGATGGAAAAATTGCTGGAAAAGGATGGGTTCCTTGCTCAGGGCCTCTTCAGTACCCAATACTGTGCCAAGTGCTTTATCTTCATTATCTCTCCTAGTCCTCACAGCATCCCCCAATCGATGTTATTTGCCACATTGTTCAAAGAAATTGAAATAAGGAGAGATTAAGGAATTTTCCCAGATCATATAGCCAGTGGGTAGTAGAATCTGGATCTGATCCTTTTTGCCCTATTTGGGGTAAGGATTTGAACAGTTTTTGATCTCTTTACTTTGAATTCCCCTGGGGGCTGCGTGTACTACGTCCTTGTTTTTTTTTATGCTCCTCAAAGTCAACTTACTTTTCTGTGTCCTGGGTGGGTGGACAGGGTGTTGTACTGGTTTTACAAGAGCCAACCGCTGAATTTCTTCTCAATTCTGCTGCTCATATTGGCAGTTACAAATTGGCTATGCTCACACCATAGAAATGAGCATATGTTGCAAATCAGGCTTTATCTGGGATAGGGGTGTATGGGAGAAATGGGAGATACCAACTTTTCCAGTATACTACTGCTGTACCTCCCCAGAACTAGACCCTGAAGGCCTATACTGGGTTATATGTACAAGCTTCTGACTTTGCACTTCAGAAATGTGTTTTATTCAGTGTATTTTTTTCATGTATATAAACTTAATTTACTCACATTTTATTCTTTAAAAAGTTCTGTTTTGGAGCTTCCATTTGAGTTTTTCCATTTACCTTCTTATTTCTATGCTTGTTTGCAATTTTAATCACAACCAGGATCAATTTGGTTCAGCTTTGAGATGCCACAGCCTTTGCCTTTGGCCCTATTACTGGACCTCCCCACAAGAAATTTGTTACATTTACACTCTATCCAGTTTTGTGATCTGCTTAAAGATCTCAGTCTCTGTTCTTGTCACCCACAACTCATCTTTCATGTCTTTTTTCCCCCTTGGTATACACAGGCTGCTGGAGTTCAGCTAGCTTTAGCTAACAGGTGTCAATGTGTTGATCTCTTGAAAACAGCGCAGACTTGTCAGCTCCCCAGTGTATCTCTTCATTGTCAGGCCAGCCTGAGGTATGAGAGCCTCCACAGAAAGCTATGGATTGTTGGCTTTCTGAAAAGTGTTTGGGGTTCCATCAATCAGCAGGAGGCTAGGAGGGCCCATGGCATTGTGTTGGACTGGGTTAGAGGGAGAACGAGAGAGAGAGAGAGAGAGAGAGAGAGAGAGAGAGAGAGAGAGAGAGAGAGAGAGAGAGAGAG